ACAAAAACCTAGAAAACTCATGAATAAAACCGAAAAAAAAACAGTGAAAACGAGCGAAAAAATTTTAAAAGTTTGAATTCGCGCGCTTTTACTCACCGGGCGGCCTAGAAAAAACCTCGTCCCTAAGGGCTTTCAGCGTATTTTTCGATGTCGTTTTTCTCGATGAAGTCATTTTTTTGAATTTTTTCTTTATTTTTATTTCAATCTACATGCATTTCTGCACATTTTGATGCAATACAAAAATTTCACCGTACACCACCTTTAAAGGTACATTTGACTCATCTTTTTTTTGCGAAAAATTGCAAATTTCGAAATGCACGAAAGTATTCTAAAAATGAAATTTAGACTGGTTTTCTAAACCAAAAACCAGAAAATTCAAATTTTCACAATTTCGAGAAAAATTTCAAAAATGTCCTAAAATACGAAATTTAGCCGAATTTAAGCCTTAAACGAAATACGGCTAAAAATATGTAAAAAATGACATTCAGAATTTTGAAAAAGACACCAAAAACCTAGAAACAGGTTCAAATTTAGGCCGCAACTTTCAAAAAATTGCAAAAAAAAAAGAGAAGAAAAGAGAATTTGTCTCTTTTCTTCTTTGTGTTTGTGCTTGCTCTGGCCTGGGTGCTCTTTGAAAAATGTCTCTCATTTTCTTTCTGTTTCTCTGCCTCTCTCTCTCTCTCTCTCTCTCTCGCCAGAGAGACGCAGAGAAAGCGCGAGGGAGCGCGGCGCCGTGAGACGCAGAGAAAAAGAGAGAGAGAGAGAGAGAGAGAGAGAGAGAAAAAGAGAGAGAGAGGGAGGAAACGGAACACCAAAAAGCCCCAAAAAGGAAAAGGAAAAGAGGAAAATTGTTTTTGTGGGGGAGGAAAATTGTCGAAAAAAAACCCCAAAATCGGCCTACAGTGGGCTTAAAATGGCCTAAAAGGGTCCGAAATTCGATTGAAAACGGCCTAAGCAGCCTGGAATGTCGAAAAATACGCATTTTGAGCAATTTTTAGGCCATTTTAGGTCATTTTAAAGGTGGTGTACGGTGAAATTTTTTATTGCATCAAAATGTGCAGAAATGCATGTAGATTGACATAAAAATAAAGAAAAAATTCAAAAAAATTCCGTCATCGAGAAAAACGCATCGAAAAATACGCTGAAAGCCCTTAGGGACGAGGTTTTTTTCTAGGCCGCCCGACGAGTAAAAGCGCGCGAATTCAAACTTTTAAAATTTTTTCGCTCGTTTTCACTGTTTTTTTCGGTTTTTTCAAGAGTTTTCAAGGTTTTTGTCA